TTTCAACGGATCCAACAATCTCTTGAAAAATTATACAAAAAGTTGTAGGAGAGTGGAGAGAAAGAGAGAGCTAGGATTTTTTAAAGTTAAGGGATGAGGATAACTAAAAGATTTATAAATAAAAATTCATTCTTATAGACAGAGAGAGTTACGAGGAAGAAAAGTAAAAAAAGAGTATTACGAATATAAATGATTAAATGTATAAGACAAAATTTGGATCTTGTTGTTTTCAAAATGTCAATCGTAAAACTTTAACGAAGAGAGATAGAATTTGATGATTTTCTTCGACTTTTTTTAAATATATATATACTTTTATATTCTTTTTTTTGGTTCCTTTTGGTCTCTTCGAATTTGGGTTTAGCGCTCATAAAAATGAAGAATAAAGATCTCGATTATCTCCTCCCTTTGGTAAATTTTTTTTTCATTTTTTTTTTCTTTTTCTTTTTTACTTTTGAATTTTTCGTTTATCATCATCATCATCATCATCATCATCATCATCATCGGTCGCCGTATAGGTAGAAACGTTAAACAATTTTTTATTTTCTACCATGACGCATCAACGAAGATTTTTGCGATTTATCTTGTCTCTCTATCTCGTTCTCTCTAGATACTATCTTCTATGTGAAATTAACTAGCTAGTATACTAGGTTATTACGATGGAGAGGAGCGTTGTAGCGGTGATTCAAACTCGTCACTCCTGATCGTCGAGCTTCCAAATGGCTTGCATTCTCGTACGACATCTGCAAACGAACGGATGATATCTGTCTCTCTCTCTCTCTCTCTCTCACTCCTATATTTTTTTACAAACATTCAAATAAACAAAAAAAAAAAATATATATATATATATATTTTAATCCGATAACTATTACCATCACAAATATCGTTATGGTTAGTTCGAACAAATGTTCGTGAGTTGATCTACACTTTTTTGAATTATTGATCGCTATATCTTTACAAATTGTTTAACATGTTCTTGTCGAAATAAAATATAAATTTTATCTAATTATTTTATAAATTTTCATGAAATAAAATATAGCGGAATTATTTGTGAAGGTAATAGTTAAAATTTGATCCAGGAATTGAATAAATTTGTCGATGCTTACTCTGTAAGTTATGACGTAGGGCGCAATCCGTCCAGTTTTTCTACGCTAGGACGTGGGTTAGTATGGCTTGCTAGAATCCTTGGGCCTCTTCAGTTGGACCTTTAACCGTTTCATTCCTATTTGGAAGCCGTTCATCGCGTGGATCGCTGCTTGCGCGCTTGCTTGATTGTCAAACGACACGAAACCTGAAAAAAATCGATCGATAATTAATACACGATACGATGATTAATAGATTTCGTTAACGAATTTCGTCAACGAAACTCATTTCAATCCTTTCCTTTTATATTCCGATTCATTTACTTTTTGTTATCAACGACAAATTGTAAATTGTTATTTAATCAGGACCGACAATTAATATTGATTTCGTTTGATTTAAATACGCGTTTGAATTCGTGCAACGAACTTAACTATTACTTGTACCAGGAATATAATTAAAATCGAAATATATTTTTATCCCAATCGTTACCGTTTTTTTTTTTTTTTTTCGTCTGAACTCCAGNTTTTAGATTTCACGTAGAAAAGAATCAAAACGTTTGATCGGTGTTTAACGATCGACTTTTAGATCTTTTAAAGAGATCACATTTTTCCTACGAGTCCTAGGACTGAAATGATTAAAAAAAAAAAAAAAAAAAGAAAAATACAAAAATCCCCAAACGAAACTACGACGCAGGAATAGAATCTTTTATCCGTCTATCATGAAATTCATTCATGTATCTTTTTAACGAGCGTCTCTGTAATTTTGGAATTTGTATAAAAACGTTGCAATTAACTAACACACACACACACAGACACGCAAGCACGCGTACAAAGGAATACAGAAGTCTGCTGAATCGCTATTTTCTATCTTTTTCTCTGGGTGCGCGTGGCTGAATGGACCGAAGATGATACGATCTCGTTCGATCGTCCAATTATCCGCGTCTATGTACACCTGCGAATCCGTATCGGATACGATTCATCAAAGGAACGGTACCGGTGGCTTTTTCAGTCTCTTTTTCAGTTCCCTTTTTTGTTACGATCTTCTCTGCTGTCGCGCAAAAGGCTTCGAGAACGATTTTATTGAGCCGAACGGCCATTGATGCTGGCTGCTTTCATAATTGACGCGTGGTGTATGCGCGTGTGTATATACCAAATGTGTGCGAGTATGTGTGTACGTGCGGAAGGGTTTGTTCACGCGTGCATAACGCCAGTTCTCTATTTTATTTTTATTTCAGCCTTGCGAAATGAATGAAATTTTATATACGTATATTCGAAAGCAATACGAGAAACACACGGTATATTTTTGTTCTTTTTCTTTCTTCTATTTCCTTCTTTTTTATTTTGATTAAAGTCCTATCCGCCTATTCTCTTTTTCAAGCACGACAAATGTTTTATACCTCTCGTTTATGTCCTACCTTGGACGAAGTAGAACACCATGTTACTTACGGTCATCTTCTTGTTTCTCTCTCTCTCTCTCTCACCCTCCCTTTTCTCCCTTTTCTTTTAGTTCCATAGAGTCAAGGCCACGCTCTTTCAGTGTCTTTCGTGGAAATGACGCACTTACCGAAGCATTTGCTCTGGTTAGTGGCCCGGTCGATGAAGACCTTCGAGGAGATGACGTTGCCGAAGGGCATGAACATCTGCATGAGCTCGGGGTCACCAAACTCCTGTGGCAGGTGGTAGATGAAGAGGTTGCAGCCCTCGGGTCCTGAGATAGAGCATCCTACCATATAAATCAGAGCACATCTAAACATCTAAACTTGAAGTATAATACTCAAGTTAGAATGTTAGTCTTTGGATGAGTTTCCTTCTTCGGTAGATAAGTTGTTATGATTCGGCGATAGTGAAAAGCGATATAACTTGCTAGTGCGAGTTTCGAATGAATATGAAGATGAAGTATTTCATGATAATATTATTGGAATTTAAACATTAATGTCTCTCACACATCGTTCAATTTATTTCATCATTTCATTTACAACGTACATCTGTTTTCGTACGATATAGAAATTCGATTGGTGAGAGACGTCGTAAACAAATTTTGAAATGATCTTTTTGATTTTGTTTTTGCTTTAGTTTCTTCTTTCTATTTTTTTTTTTTGCTTTAATGAGAGAGACGTCGAACAAAGTGATACGAATAATGCGTATTTATACTAATGAAAATGAAAAAAGAAAGAGACGCGAGAGGTGCCGTGGATGACCCGTTCGTGATTTTGATTACTCTCTCTCTTTCTCTTTCTCTCGCGCGCACTTTCAAAGTAACGTTGAGTATTTATACTTTCAATTATACAAACACACAACACAGGGAATTCACACAATACAATGACAGACGATAAAGGAATAAACTGGACATTGGTGAAGAATGCGGGAGGTGAGATACGATCTATGAACGTGAAATGTTACGATGAAGGAATATGTTTGTATTATGACACGGTGGTGATCATGACAGTGATTACGCGCGATTTTATTCTACATAGATATTTAATATTTTAATTGTTCATGGCCAGACACGGATGATCTATCGTCGTCATTTTTCAAAAATGTGATGAAGCAAACGCTGCATGGAGAGATCGTTGTCAAACTTTTTTCTTATCTTCGTATTTGTTTTAATAATTATTATTCAAACATTTACGAAATTTAAGAGAGATAATCTTGGGTGTGTTCAAGGAAGTAAGATACATTGATTCGAATTAAAATAAAGTCGAAAAGTGACAATGAAGACATCGACAAAGATTATTATTATTATTACTTGCGCATGCTCTCAACCAAGGAAAGCTTTCCTTCTTCTCTTACGTAGTGCCAAAAGTGGGCAGGGTAGATGGAAAGAGAAAGAAGGGCTTTAGGGACGGGAAGGGGAGGAAGTCCAAATAAGGATTTAGCTAATTTCACTGAACTTTATAACTCCGACGTCAATTAGCGGCGATTATGACCGTGGAAACTTCTGCTCTCTTGCCCAGAAAGCTACCCAACTAACGGACGCATTTAAGTAATGAGATGGCTGCCACTCAACTTTTAGGGCGCTACTCATCGCGAGTCGCTTGTTACTTTGGCAAGATCCGCCATCACCACTACTAACCACCACCATCTTTGAGATCTTCTTCTTCTTCTTCTTCCCTCATTTTACTTTTGAGACTTTGGGAATAACCGAAACGTGCTATCTCGAGTAACCCCAGCAAATATAATTGTCCTATTGGCAGCAATTCTGACAAATAATCTCAGAGATCACTAGGTATTTGATGATAATAATTTGAGTTCACATTCTCAAGCTCGGGATGTTACTCTTCAATTTTCACAGATAAATTTTGAAGGATTTCTTTTATACAATTTTGTAATTTCAACGGATTTAAACAATTTCCTTTTAGATACTCTTTCTCTCTTTTCCTTTCTTTTGTTCATTCTTTCGCAAAATAGCCTTCTCTCATTAAATTCCGTCTAATGAAACGGATTAGCCTATGTTAAAGTGCCGACATTTCCCAGGTGTTGCTCTGATATAATTGCGCGTACCTTCTAATAGAATATAATTGCACGAGTTTTTCAATTTCTTCTTCTTCTTCTTCTTCTATTTTTATTTTTTTTTTTCATTAAGAGAGAAAGAAAACAAAGGAATTGAAAAGTCGACAATTCGCAAACGGAATTACGAAATATCCGTAGGCGATGTGTTCTCCTTTGTCTCTCCTGGCCTCGTTTGAAATATAAAATAATAAGTTTAGAGAAAGCAAGAGAGGAAACGAGAAGGAACGATGATCGTGGTGGTGCTAAAGGCTTCGAAATTAATTTCGCGTCAAAAAGGAAAGTTTGCGTTATCCGAGGAGTAACCTTAACGCGTCTCGCGGTTTACATAAAGAGTGACAAATGTTTCCCCTTTGCGTCGTAGCTTTGTCCCGGCAATAACTCGATCGAAGTTGTCACGCGAAACCCAAATTAGCGTGGGTGTCGACAGGTTTCCAGTTGCTACCGACGAAGGAAGTGAGAGAGAGGAAAATGGAATCACGAAGAACGAGTAATAAATTCACTTCTGTCGTCGCGTGGTGCCTGATCGGTGATCCTGAAATTGCTTCTCGACTCGCTAATTGGCCTTAGCGTGGAATGTGTCCACAAATTTAATGAGAATTGCCCAACAACTTCTCTTCTATTTCCCCCTGTACTGTCCTTGACGAACCAATAGAAGAGTCCAAACTTCTAAACTTATTATACTTTGATACAACTTTGATCATTTTTAAACTTTTTTCTGGGATTAATATTTCTCTTTTTTTTTTAAATGATAAAGAATTATCTTTATTTAAATTGAAGAATTCGCGTTGACGTTTAACACGAAAATATTAGATACAGAAACGAGCAGTCAGAACTGTTTCATAGAAGAACAAAGAAAACAACAATTGACATTTGTCAACTGCAATGAGGAGTATAACTAAACTTTTGAACAATAATAAAACGAGTGTACTTCTGTATACACATGTAACTCAAGAAAAAGATAGAGAGACATTAAATACTGACAGTGATAACGAAGATAAAGAGGAAAACGATTACCAAATGAATTGATGACTCGGTGTCATGCAAAGGGGAAAAAAAACTGAATAAAATGAAACCAATGCAGGCTGCAATATTTCTAAAAGATTCGAAACACCTTTTTGACACGCACATAGAATATGTATTTTTCGAAGGACATATGAAAATTTCATCGGCAATTCAGAGCCTGCCGAAATGGGAAATCCTCCTTCTATTTCGAAAAAAAAGGGGAGAGATACTGAGAATTTGATGATCGAACCTGTCATATTCCATACGTCAAAGTGCATTAACGTTACGTGGAACGATGATCTCGTGAGTGTGAAAAAGATGGATGGCAGCCGACAAAAAATACAAGAAAAACAAGAAGAAAAATATATGGAGGAAGGGGAGAAAAGCGAAGTCGAGGAGGAGGAGGAGGAGGAGGAGGAGGAGGAGGATAATCTAGGGAGTGGGTGAGCCTAGAGGAGGTGGTAGGGGGCGAAAGTCGGGGGTGGCTGTCGCAGTAAACTTTCCATTATCCTACGATGTAACAACGGATCGCCTACGGGGCGTAGCGGCAAAGTAATTAAAACTTTCGTTTTATTTGCATTATCTCATTGTAAGGCATCGTATATTCTAATAATGGCGAGTTGTTAATTGCAATTAGGCGTGGGGCTTCTCTCTCTTTCTCTCTTCATCCACCTACTACCACCACCCTATTTTTAGCCTCCTTCTTCTGATTCTCTTTATTTCCTTCCTTCCTTCCTTCTTTCCTTCTTTCTTTCTTTCTTTCTTTCTTTCTTTCTTTCTTTCTTTCTTTCTTCCCTACTCTTGTTTCAACATCACTTCTCAACTTCCTTTCGACCACGTTCCTACTCGTTTTTCCACAAAGAACAAGGACCGTCTTTTTCAGGACGTTTCGTTCAACTGACGGCTCGTTAAGCACCACCTCGATCGATTCCGTTGTACTTTTAATTGGAAAACCAGTCTTCGGTTGTAGTCAACGATTTCAACGAACATTTCTGCTCGTTACACGAAAGGAAAGGAAAGGACAGGAAAGGAAAGGAAAGTAAAAGAAAAAAGGAAAGAGAGGTTGAGGTTGAGGTTGAGGTTGAGGGTTAGAACGAGGGTGTACGTTTTGTAGAACGACAGAACACTTTGGATTTGTTCTTCTTCTTCTTTTTCTTCTTAAAAATTCGTCAAATTAAATTTGATAGATTCTGTGGTTTCACTCCTTTTCACCTCAAACCCTTAAACGATCTTACTTTAACTCACTTTGTTCTAGTTCGAAACAATTAATATATGAAAGAAAGAGAGAAAGGTGGTGGTATATTTCGTGAAAGTTTTCGGAAGGAAGGATAAGAGATATGGTTTTACTTTGGGCACCCGCTTGATGAGAAAGAAACCCGCCGTTAAACGTACGTGCCGATGAAAACCCTGTTGGAAAGAATTCTTTCGCGAAAAATTTCATCAAAGGTTTCGCCTCTACGCCTTCAGCCCTGGACGAAGAAGAAGAAGAAGAAGAAGAAGAAGAAGAAGAAGAAGAAGAAGAAGAAGAAGAGAGGAGTACCGAGAGCGTCGAATTAAAAGAGAACGGAAACTTTTGAAAGACGAAGAAAAAGTAAGGAAAAAAAGGCAACGCTTTTTAATCGACCTTTTTCCTCCCGTCTCCCCACACAGCGCAAAAGAATATAATTTTTCTCTACTTTTCCACCTCTTCTCTACTGTTCAACCTACTATTTTTGTTCTCATTTCTTTTCTTCTTATTTTTTTCTTTTCGTATTATACTTTTTGACTTTGGACGATCGACCAAATGAAATCTTTCGTGTCTGGACGAATCTACATTTTTAATACGAATGTGTGTAAAGTTTGTACGAATGTTAGTGTAAGTGTTGAAGGAAGTGGTATCAACTACAAATTGGATGAACTACTATTATTTTGTGTTACAATCAACAATGAATACGTTAACGTGTTTGTACTTACCTTCCCTTTGTGCCACAGCGGCGGTAATCGGCTGAGGAATAGCTTGAGGAAACTGGCCGTAGACGGCGGGATAAGCTGCGACAGTAACAAATAACGGATAACAAACAAAATACATCGTATTTGTCGACATAGAGAGACGGAAAATGTGCATGCTCGTTTATGATGCGCTATATTCGGTGTTTCATAATATATTCACTCTGGACAAAAATTAGTGCTTTTCGATTTGCTCCTAGGGTAGTAGGGGTGGCAGAGTTAAGGGAGAGAAAGAAAATGGTTATTTGTAAAAAAGAGGAATACAAAAACGAAAAAACAATTCTCTACTTTGTCGAAGAGACAAAGGAGAATGAGAGAGTAAAAAGCAAAAAAAAAAAAAAAGAGAAAAAGAACAGAATAAAAGGGTAGGATGGAAGAAAAGAAGGCGATGTCGTTCGTATCGCGTTCTACGGCGCGGTCCATTTACCTTGTCAACTTAAAAGCAAACGAATGGTGGCGAATCTCCGCTACAGGAGTCTCACGAACGTTCCTCCTGCGCCATTTATCATGCCGCTTCCACGGACAAGGATATTCGTCTCTCAACGATATCGCCATTTCCTAACTTTAAATACCATACATTCAGTGCTTTGTACCTGCCTTCTACTACATATCCCTGTATATGTATCGTATAGTTATATATATTTCCTTTTTCTATTTGTTTTTTCTTCTTGTATGATTTTTTATTCTTCTAATTGTCGATGAGGAAACGGAGTCAAATATTTTGCCGGTTCGTGTACTCTCGAAAAGGACATTCGATACGGCTTCAAAGTCACACGCTGAGAGAAGGATCGGACTACCCTGATGAAATCACGCGTGGGAGATCACGTTTCACGATGGCGCATGACTTTTCACTCGGTCTCTCGTCGTTATATCGATCGATGGGTAGAAGAGTCAGTCCGTCGGTGGTAGTCAAACTCGCTTAAGAATGATTACTTTTTACATTTATTATAATATTTTGAAAACGATTTCTGACCGAACATATCGTCAGACATCACATATCGTTCTCTCTCCCTTTTATCAATAATCGCGTACTCCTAGTAATCATAACGTTATTAATCACATACTTGAGTAAATATTTAAAACGATACGTGATTGATATCTGTTTGCGACTGGGGCATACGGTACATATATAGGGTACATATACGGAACCCGGCATTGCATTCGCATTGCATCGCATCGCGCGAATTTCACTTGCTTACCGCCGCCACCGCCGCCGCCGACGCTGACTACTCTCAAATCCGCAACGCTGAAATTTCGCTTCGGAATTAATTATTCCCGTGTAAATATCACTTTAATATATTCCGATTGACGTTACCGGAGGCTTCACGGAGCGCGATGGGTCAACATTTGGCGTATGAAATAAATGTGCGATCATACGTCGGTTATCTCGTCCTGTTTAACAGAAAAGGAGAAAAGGAGAAAAATAGAAAGAGATAGTAGAGAGAGAAAATGAACGAACGGACGAACGGACGGATGGACGGTGAACGAACGAACGAACGAACGAACGAACGAACGAACGAACGAACGAACGAACGAACGAACGAACGAACGAACGAGCAAGTAGCGAATATATACGGGATTGCTTTTTTCGATCCGTTGATCTCGACGAGAGTTTGTGTGTACGCTGGAAACAAATATAGGAGAAAAAACAGACCGTTTTAGAGACACCTGTAAACGTAAAAAAAAAAAAGAAAAAAAGGGAGTAGTAAAAAAAAAGGGTTGGACGGTTCGCACTGGTGCTGTGACGATGAGAAGGTGGAGGAAGAGGAGGAAGAGGAGAGAGGACGTTGTGGAACGTACGGTACTGCAGGCTGTATCATGTATGCCGGACAAATTCACGAAACCACCGATAATTCTTTGAACCCACGTACCTACGCAAACAGTATAGTTTTACTTTTATTTTCTTTCTCTATTGATCCGAAAACTATGATGTCGACGCGTTGTGTTGTTTGTTTTTCCTGGCTACACACAGAATCAACCATATTTCTTTCCCCTTTCTTTTTATTTTATTTTTTTTTATTTTTTTTATCCTTTTTATCTGGCGTCTAGTTTACCGAGCAGAAAATTTAATTAAATTCGTTGTGTCGATCTAACTAACCTAATTAACCAATTGAGTAAACCGTTTTATGTCAAGTACGTTTTATTGATTCTTCTTATCGAGAAGCAGCAGCAGCAGCAGCAGCAACAACACTCTTGTCGCGTGCATGCGTGCGTACGTGCGTGCGGGAAAACAAAACAAGATAATACCGCGTTTATGCAAGCAACATTCTGATGGTGAATCTAGTTGGGTACACGTAAAAGTCCGTGTATTTTTTATCATCGGAAACGCAATAGAAAAGTGCAAGTTACCGCGAAACTGTCATTTCCCCTGTTTCTATACCGTTTCGTTTTTACCGACCATTAGCGAGAATTACCGTGAAAATTGCTAAAATCACAACACTCGAACGTTGTTCGTAATTTATTGCCCTTAACGAAGCGTGTTATTCCAAATCTGCATACCAACCTAACGGCATCTAATACATTTTACGGTAAAACGCGATTCAATCGAACTAATGATGTTCTTTTTTTTTTTTAACTTCTTTCATCTATTTATTATATTTTTTTAATTTTAATACTTCACATTTTTCTCGTCCATCTCGAACATTAAAAATAATATCTAGGACACTATAGCATTATCATCATCAGCACACATACGAACTACGCATAAGTTTCGATTTATTCACGATTCATATGTGTGTGTATATATGTGTATGTATATGTATATACACATATAAAAGAAATTTTTACGTTTACGAAATATATGTATATATACATGTATATACATGCTGACACAGTCGCACAGCATGCAACACAACCAGCAACGACGCGAAGAGCGAAATTGAGTTTTTTCCTAGATAAATGTCCGAGTGCTTCCGGTTAAAAGCGTGTTGTGCTTGAGTTTTTCCTCTCCTTCTTTCCCCCTTACCCCCGATTATTCTCTTTCGGCATTGCTCTTTCTCTTTCCCTTTCTCTTTCCCTTTCTCTTTCCCCGACATCCAACGATATTTATTTTACGTCGACTTTGGTCAAAAAATGAAAGAAAGGAAAGTGAACCCGGAGGGGACGGTGGACTTTTCGAAAAACTATATATGATTTGTTTTTTTTCAATGCCACTGCATTTGAGCATCCATGCACGTACGTGGCGTGCGTATATGCGCCCTCCCTGTATTTGTGTGCGCGGGTCTGTTTGTTCAATAATACTGTCGATAAAATGTACGTTCGCTGATCTTTCCAGCTTAACCCACCTTCCCCTCTCATCTGCACACCGCCCCCCTCCCACACACACCACCCATTCTCGTCCCTGCCCCCTCGCGTAGAACCCAACGGGTGAGTATGTAAATAGCTAAGCTTTCTAAAATATTAAAAAAATATCTGTACCGACGTTTCCGTAAGCTTTTCCATCGTACAAACGACAAATAGGATTTTCAATTACCATTGAACGATCTCGTAAAGAAATAAAATGAAATAAAATAAAAATAAAAAAAAGGGGAAAGAAAAAAAAATACACAGCAAACAAAACAAAATCATACGAATTTTATCGCGCGTGACGTAAACGATAACGATTTACTCTTCATCGATGCGAATAATCTCTGTGACCGATTACACGTGTACTCCCGGGTTTGTTGCGTTTAAACAGCGAGAGCGTATATTTGTGGTTGACCAATTTTGTCCAGAACATGACGAGATAGACAGAACAACCCATAGGAAAAAATCTTTTGGAAAAAAAAATGGAATTTTTTTACTTACGATCTTTACAATGTTTCATTTATGTATTTTTATTTGACTGATATCGAATGAGAATTAGATAATAGTAATTTAAGAAAAGTGATCGATGATCGATGCCAAGAATGAGTAACAAAAAGGAAAAGAAAAAGAAAAAGAAAAAAACCTAAATCGAATAACTTACCAACACTATGATGATAAGGTTGCATTCCACCATATGTTGGGTGTTGAAGTGTCGCCTCCCCATTGGGCAGCCCCTGTGCTGGAATCGACAAATGGAGGGCATCTACACTTCAGTAAGCTCAACTCTTATCAGGGACGGACCTAACTTAGTGCCCCTGTCTCAATGAACCCGATCCTATCGAAGTTTGACTCTAATCTACTTTGGTAGATACTGATAAAGAATGCATCGATTTATCGGGATGACAATTTAATCGAACAACTGTATTAACTCCAATAAGATATATAAATTCGGTACAGTTGTAAGATAGCCAGCCAGCTATTTGAAGCTTTTCAAAGTATATCAATGAATGAGATGTCCTGTTATATAAAAGTAAAATCATGAAAGGAAAATGGTGAGACAATGAAACATAGACAGATATAGGAAATAAGTAGAGCATGGGGTTGTCGTTGGTGATAGCATTTTCGCGATTTGAGCTGGCAATGGTTTGGTCCTGCGCGAAAGTAGAAAGAGAAATAGGAAAACCCGTGGCGTAGCGACGCACCGAGCGCCGTCGTACTGGGCGAGGTTATTTCCTTCGCCGGTGGAAACGCGGAATAATAAAGTCCGTCGTCGATTGGTCGGGTATTGCGCAGGGGCGGCACACTGCGCCTGAGTTGATACTCACGTCCCGAGTAGGTTTGCGGTATCCCGTTGGTATAGACACCTGGATCCGAACCTGCTGGTTGACCGTTTGGTGTTTGGGCGGCCATGTTGAAATTGGGCATCGTCGGCGAGGGTAACGACGGTATCGCCCCGTTAACTGGCTGTCCTGTGGAACCTACGAGCAAACCTGATCAGTATACAACGATTACCCTCTTGCTCTTGCAATACGGACTTCTGTCGCAAACCTCCGCTCCTCATCAATTCTCACTCTCTCTCCCCCTTTCATACAACATACACGTGCATGCACACCCTTCATTCTAGTTCTACCTTCTATCAATCGATTTCATCTCATAAATGGACGAATATAACTAGCCTTTAAATGGATAGACCATCAGGGATGATTTCTACTCGAAAGCTATGCAACCATACTGTCATGAAGTATGCTCATGTTCTTCATTCAACATGGATCAAAATCAATTGATCAGCAAGTTTATTTTATTTTATTTTAGGTGTCAAAAGAATGATGAATATCGATAAGAAAAAGAGTAAAGAACAACTAAAGAATCAAATTGTTCAAATATTTGTATTCTTTTCCTCTTTGAAATGGTATTACCCTCTTCTTCTAAAACGAGACTCGACGTATAACCCAAGCAAGCGTTTGCGGAGGGACGATTTCCGCATTCGCTATACCCACTCTCTATACCTTCTCTCTATACCCTTTCCTTCCTCGTTCTCTTTCTCTCTGTTTTCTCTTTTATCGAAAGATCGGAGTCGGAGAGAGGAAGAGAAAGAGAAAAAGAGAAAGGGCCGTGCTTCCTCGAAGTTTCTACTTCCCGTTCGGCGAGCTTTCGATAAAGTTTCGCGGTACCCAGCAATATCTTTCGCCCGAGTCACGCTCGGTGAAAATGTTGTATTGATTTACGAGCCTGTTATAAGGCAAGCAGCGAGAGAGTACGTTCTTCTTCTCTTTTCTTCGAAACGCGCACGCGAGACCGCTCGCGGATGTTCTACGCAGAAGAGGTTGCTTGGCAGACGAGGGTGGTACAGGGCAAAAAAAGGTTTGGGAAATCGAGCGTTTTCCTACTAGAAGGGTACGTATAAATATGCGTTTTCGTCTATATGTGGGTGTGTGTGCTAGTGCACGGATGCTTCTCGCTCGTTTCTTCTTCTCCACGCTGTCGAATGTTTCCCGGGAAATCGAGCATTTCTCCGATTCCAAGCACTCCCTCTTTCTCTTTCTCTTTCACTCCCTCTTCACGAAATTGATGTAGCTCGACGCAACGTTATACCGCGAGATTTTCCTTCTAAACGTCGGATTTGTACAGGAGGAGAACTGGGGGAGGAGAAGGAGGAGGAGTTGGTATTGTAACGTGAGTCCTTATCCGACGAAATTCGAAACGTTTTAAACTATGAGTCATTTAATGTTTCGTCCTAAATGGATTAAAATGAATTTTTCTTTTAGTTATTACATTTGATAATTTACCTATGTTTGAAACATTCACACATACACACGTACAAATACATAAAAGTATTCATTATTTGCTTGTGGATGATATAGAAGATAGTTGATACATTCATTTAATTATTGCTCTGATGTTTTAATTAGATGTTTCTCGTTGTTTCTCATATTTTATAATAATTAAGAAAGAATAGAATTTACCGGAAGTCGGTGGTACAACGGGATTTGGCATGCCATTAAGGGCGTGTGGTAGTTGCCCAGCAGCTAGTGCGGCCATTGGGCTGATATACGTTCCCTGTGCCGTTGCAGCTGCCATGAGCGCTGCTTGTTGCTGAAACATATGAATATTTTCGTTTTAGAATCGTACGTCAAACGAATGGTGGTTTGTTGTCGCAGCTGCACAATTTCCCTTATATGCGGGAAATTTTGAGAAATAGTTGAATTGAAAAGTTACGACGAAAGTGACAATTCAACGAAATCAAGTGTACATATAATAACGAGAAGAAAACTATTACCAATTGTACATCTTGGTAAGGGGTACAACTGTAGATTGGTAATGCAGTAACGGAAGAACCATTAACGGTAATACGACCCACCTGGGCGTAAGCGCCGTAAGCGTTGAACTGATTGAAGACAAAGGGGTTAAGGAGGCTCATGTTCCCGGCCATTTGCTGCATGCGTCTTAGTTGTCTCTCTTTCTCAGTGTCCGCGAACTTTACCACTACGCTGGATGACGCACCCTGAAACAGAAAAGCAATCGTTATCAGTAAAAGAAAAAAATAATTGCTGGAAGTGATTTAAAAGAAGCTTTTTTCTCTTTCCCCTATTTTATTCTATTCTTTTCTTTAACAAACGAGCACGGATTAGGACTGTAACTCGAACACGGTTTAATGAGGTTCAAGAGTTAGGGAAAATTCCAAGCTTTCGGTGGTATAGGGAGGAGGAAATTCGCGTGGGAGGTTTCCAGACTGATGGCATCTTGTGACGACGACGACGACGACGACGACGACTAAAGTAAGGATGACTTAATCGGGCGTGTAGATGGTATATACGAGCGACGATTATGTGGCCCCGTATCTGGGAAACTGGTTACATGGTTTATCACGTATGTACTAAGCCGTTCACAATGTAAATTGCCGTCTTATGTCAGGCTAGTCTGAACACAGGATCGGATAGTCCTGTCAGCCATCTCGTATCCGACGTAATTTCCGTTAGAAACGGTGCACCCACTGTTTTAAGATCCTCCAAACGTACCGTACTCAGTTTGTAAAGCTATAAGTAGTTTGCAAACAGCTTCGTAAACCTGTTGGGTCTTTAAATATTCCATCGATGAACATAAAATATAAAATATAATTTCGATAAATCTGAACGATTATATTTTATAGCCCAGTTTATTAAATTCAACAGTTAACATAATAAATAGGTTATTGTAATGAGTATGAATTATGAGAAAAATAAGTTAAAAGGTATCCTATCTAACAAGAAAAGATTTCAACGTCTTTTGGGACTCCTACAAGGACGATACATAAGGCGATGATGCTCATACGACGTCTAAAATATAAATGGAAAGGCAACAGGTGGTCAGTAGCCATTGTGGCTGCGGAGAAAAGCTTAGCTTTCGAGCTTCCCCGTGATATATTATATTCGGGTCATCAATGTAAATGCTGGGCGTGTCTGAGTTTATATAACTGCCGTAATATTATAACACGAGGACACGCAAAGTCGCAGCAGGCTTGGCGCATGCATTCCCTTTTTACTTGATATCTCTTTTTTCTCTTATTTTTTCTTTCAAGCCTTAAAGCCACCAAATCTACACATATGAATGAATAAATTTCACTTTTATACAACTGTGTATACATTCGTAAATGTACTGACACATACCTACAAATACGCACGCGCAACTTTCTTAACCGTTTAAGTTTCAAATTCTTCCAATTTCATGTCAAAAAGATCCTTAGTACGTTTCGACCATTACCTTCGTGACAAGATTGTTCCAATAAGCTCTCGTACTTTGATTGTTCAAGACTATCAATGTACATTTTTAATTTATCCAGCATGGTCACGCGAGGTAAGAAAAAGAATCAACGAAGAGATAATCGCGAAAACATCGAACGATTAGAAGAAAACAGTCGGTGCTTTTAAAATGTTGGTAATGAAGTGCTTTTTCAACTGTTACAATCGTTGCTCACTAAACGTTCTGAATAATCAATGTATGCGGTATGTAGAAGTAGCAGCGGTAGTACCACCAACACCACCAGCTCCGTCAACCTTCGGGTCCGTCATTAACTTATTAGTGCTATGGGCACGTTTCGGTTAACGATCCATTACACAAATTAACACGTTGGTGGAGCAATGCGTTAGCCGCTACTCGTCGATTGCGCGTGCATAAATAAATTATATGACCCGTACAGTTTACCGGAGTGAAGAGACCAGAAGAGAGAGATAGAAGTAAAGGGAGGAGAAGGAGGAAGGTGAAAGGAAGAGGAAAGAGTAAACGTGTGTATGGGAGAGAGAGAGAGAGAAATTCCATCATGTTAGCCGATAATTGCGTTGTTTCTATAAGATATACAACACATTTCTATTCGCTTTCGGCGAAATACGATCGTCATGTTAACGTTTTCTACGATATTGATTCAACGATTATTTGTCCGAGTAAATACCCCTTTAATGACGGCATGTCCGTGATTCGATTGGTGGACGAACCACGCACCACCTATGTTGGTCGTCGTTAAACTCTCGATAACGTACTCGTGATAGGCATTTTGCTCGGTATGTACCAACAGTAATTTACTTTCGTTTAGAGAAGTCTACTCTCGTACGATAAAACTTATTCCTCGTAAAAATAACTCTTTTAACGGATCATTGAGTTTTCTTTTTATTTACCACGATATATCACGGGAATCAATAATTTGGAATATTTGGTAACAAAAAATTGAACAGGTCGAAAGGTAGAGACGCGTAGATAGGAGGCTGATAGACTTCTCTGGTTTCAAAGATGCTTTTAATCATAGACCACCAACTCGAATGCATCTTATGGTATCGTCTGTAATTTAATGACATTGAAATACACGCCAGGTGCTAGAGAAAGAGAGAGAGAGAGAGAGAGAGAGAAAGAGAGAGTAACGCGATATATTCCAACGATCGATTGCAATGTCCATACGGATCTATAAACCTAATCTATGTAGAAGAGGATGAGAATCAAGACGAAGAGAAGGAGTACAAATCATTGGACACAAGACTAAAAGATACATATCCTTGACTATCTCAAAGGGAGTATAATTCGATGCAGCCTAGTGTGTTTTAGACTAAGCAACGGAGCAAGTATAGACATCAAAGAACGTTTGGTTCTGCTTAACAGCAATTCCATTGGTAACGATATGGAGAGATCAATGACGATTAATTAGATGCAATGCACCTGTTCTTAATTTCTCACAGTAATGATTATTCCTATTTCCAACTCATTTTCTTTTTTTAAAGCAAAACCAATCACCGTCTTTGTGTTTTTGTTCTTTACGTCGCCCATAATTTAACATTTTTCAGGGCTGACATTTCTTTGACCCTATTTTTAAAGTAAGGCACCAAAGGGAGATTAACGGGTGAATAAATTCATATAGTAGGTACGTTGGAAAAATATTAAGGCCCTTCAAGTTATTTTTATTCAACCCGTATAACTTATTTCTTTTTTTTTTTTTTTACAATATTTTTCTAACGTTTCAGTGCTATCGTATAAAATATTTGCCAATTTGCCAACAAGCTCTTCAAAATCTGAAGTACACGCTCTAATAATAACGAGCATAAGAAAAAAGAAAAAAAAAAAACGAAGAAAAATCAAATCTAAAGTAAGAAATAGAGATAAAAAGAAAGGAATGAGCGAACGATCAGCTGGTTCGTATAAAAAGCAGGAAAACGCAAAAGGTGCCGGAGAAAGCGTTCTTTGTGCGAACGGAATCGCTCGTGCAACTCGTTATGTGCTCAGAGAATAACACGACACGTGTTGTGCAGGAAAAATAATTTGCCTCACACTACCAATAGCCTCGACACTGTGTGTGAAAGGTCTTCTCTATCTCGTCCCGCATCTTCCTCTCTCTCTTTCTCTCTATCTATCTCTATCTACCCTTTTCATATGTGTTTTAACGTCGATCTTCATGTGTGCTGCTAGCAGCTCTCACCCTACCCGACGAGCTTCCCAACGTATGTGACATTTATGCGCAGTAGATACACACATATATATCGACATTGCATGTGCGGACAAGACAAGAAGGAAGAGATGAGGATGATGAGGTGGAGGAGGARGAGGAGGAGGAATAGGGGAAGGGAGAAAGGGAGAGAGGTCGTATCAGACGCAACGAAGCTGAAGCTTCATTATTGGGGGATTACGGTTCATTAATTCCGATCCAACGTTCTGAACTACACGCGAAAAGGAAAAGCCACCCCAAGTGATATCATGCAGAGAACGTTTGAAGCTGCTTCTCTCTCTCTTACCCTCTCTCTCTCTCTCTCTCTCTCTCTCTCTTTCTCTCTCTCTTTTCCCTTCTTGCTCATTATATCTGTCCTACGTGTTACTGATAACGCTACTACTTTAAAAACATCGATATATTTTTTTTTAACTGTTCAGCTCCATTATCTGCAGTTTGATTCAGCTTCTTCTCTTACGTAAATGGTCCTGACCATCGATCAATTCATTCCTCTGTCCATTCGTTAGTCATCACCTCACGCGTTTTATTCGAAAATAAAACTAGCAAGACATGGTACTGTTGAATAGTCGTAATTGGTTGTTTCTTGTTCCTAGAACTTACTAGTAGGAGATATACCTCATTTTAAAGATCCGAGTTGTTAAACTTTAGGATTCAAAGAGTCGCGTTTTTCGTTTCTCTAATGTTAACATAAATTTTAACAAGTAACGTGCGAGAGAATGGCAAAGGAAGTCGAGAAGAAACAGAAGAATTCCATATCAATATTATTTTACGCAGCAGCAACAGCAGCAGTAGCAATATTGCAACGATATACGTGAATGTATCGCAAATCATTTTCCTTTCCGCAATTTTGTTTTTTTTCCTTTTATTCTTCTTTTTTTTGTAAAAATGTTTTTGTATCTCCTTCTCTTCCTTCTTGCACTATAACCCCAGCAACCCCGACGCTTTGCAGTTTGTGAACTGCAAATATTTGTCGAAGATCCTTTCATGTCTGAAAAATAATGCTTCAGGCCCGCTTTAAGCACCCCGCCGGCTGTTTGTTTCCGTCAGAAGTTTTTCTTTCGGCGCCAACAACTATCAAGCAAAAGAAAAAGGAAGCACAAATTCTATTTCGTTTAAGCAACGGCTTCCTTCCAACGAGAAAACCTTTTTCTTTTTCTATTATAACATTTTAAAAAATGTTCAATTATATTGCATACAAGCCAAACGATTAAAACAATTATTTAACGATTATAAATATCCGTTTATTATTTTTAATTAGATATACAGGATCAAATGAACTTTGTGCTTGATGTTCAGACAATCTGGGATTTTAATGGGAATTTGGAAACTTCTAAGACCATAAGAATGATCATCATACACTGTTTATCTCTTTGAAAAGTAAGATAGAGGAATTGAAGAGAAGAGAGGAGAGAGAAGGGAAGAGAGTATAGATACAATATCGACAACGGGCGTACCAACGGAATGAAGCAATTATCTACTGATTGGAGGCTCTCCCGTTAGCCGCACAATCACACTTGCCAATCCACCGACTGGTAATTTCAATAGATACAACTCAAACCGCAAGACAGACCGGAACGCCTATTGCCTCTTGTCGATGTGATTCTACGGCGGAACCTAAAGCGAGATACAAACAATCCAATTCAGCGGTGTATTTCAAATTACCAGTTGTGGCTTACGCTAAAATCACCATAATTAGATGTAGGTACGAGCTTGATCGAAAGTAAGGAATAGTCAGAAGTCAAGTTAAGTGTAACAAATGTCTATTGAAAAATAACTTCATCAAAATGACAGATCCTAATATTTTCAAAACATTTTTCAACAATACTTTAATATTCATTTGACGTAATCGAAAGATTTAATTAGAAACGTAATGACGTTAATGTGTAAATTGTGAATTTTCCTTTCCGCTTTTGATTTTGCTTTTATTGCGAGACATTTCGAGATAGCGCAGGGAAAGCAAAGGGTAGAAATTGTGAGAATAGGGGGAAAAGAGGGATGCGTTTCGAGGCGTGACAAGAAATGTCATACGCTCCAGAAGGCATAACTGCGTGAAAAGTAGGCTTGCTCTCTTTCTACTTCCTTTTCTCTTTCATTCTCTTGCATGCATACCAATCCCTGACACAAACCACAAGAGACGAACTGCGAAACTGATAGAAATACAGAACCCTTGGAGAAATATTGATGGTATTACGGAAACTGTTCTCTCCCTTCGAGAGAAGTCACAGGAATACTAAGGGTTCAAATATTATTCTACATAAAATGTGTGTGGGGCGTAGCAAATTTAGAAGCCTAACTCTTACAACTTATTGACTTTCTTTCATTCTACAATATGAAAATAAAATTCTAATACGAATCGTAATGATCGATAAACTAATGCACCACACGTTAACACACGTAAAATATTAATTTGAAGTCTATGCCCACGAGATATGTTAATGGCAGAAGACTTTTCATGCATTTTGCTCGTTCGAATGGCGTATCACGAGGCGTATAACTACTTCCACTTGACATTTCAGGGAACCTAGGCTAGCCACTTGACTGCGACGTCTGTCGGTTAGAGGATGTCTGCTGCTTCACGAGAAGGTAGAAGGAAGGTTAGGCAGGAGGAAGGGGGAGAAAAGGAGCTAGAGTTGGAGGTGGAAGAGCTTGATTCCAAACCTGTAGGAAGGATGTCTAACCTGGAGCAGGTAAGCACGAAGCTTGGCGTGGTCAATGAGGGGCAGACAGAGAGGGAGAGAGAGACAGAGAGTGAGAGAGAGAAATGGATAGTCAGATACCCTCAGAACGCTCGACGTTCTGTCCATCCTCTTCTCCTTCTCCTTCTCCTTCCAGTTGAAGGGTCCTTGAAATATTCTCGCTAGATCCCTCATATCTACAAAGCACTGGCACAATACGCGCATCCCTCGGTCTAACAGGCCTTAATCATGCTCTAGTCGGTCGTTGGCGTCCTGCGATGCTACTACTATCGTTCTCCTACCAAACTCTGCTAGTGCCAAGTATAACTAAACGAATCTAACGTCGTCACTTAATTGTTCGTCTCATGGTACATACCAGACAAACTTATACAATCAAACTCCTACTCTTATCCTATATATTATATACAGGGATGATGGAAGGAAAACATTTGCTACTCTTGCTTATATACAATTATTTTCGAACCCTCCAATTTGAGATATCAAGCTAGCACTAGCAGGCTTAGCTAACTGATGGACTCCGCTGTGCTTTAGATCCCCTTTTAAGTCTTCAATTAGAGAAGATATTCCACGATCGCGTTTGTCTTCTCCCGATGATTATAATTACGACAGGAGATGCGTCATCAAATTGAAATTATCTACCTACGCTTATATTGATCCGAATTTACGTAAGTCATTAATCTTACGTAACATATCATTACGATTTAGTCTAGTTTTTATAGCCTAATAACATCCGTTCATTCGTTGAGGAACTATTATCTTGAGCATCGTTCATTATATTTTTAGGACAGTATACTTTTTCATTTGTAATGATATAAATTGGACGTTATTCTTGAATGTCACGATGCGAATCAGTATCTATGGATTTCGGTTTATCAAGTATAAAAGTGTTCAAGCATTAAAAGGAAAGAGAAAGATAGAGAGAGAAAGAGCTATCAATTTCAGGAGTCATGATTTCTCAGACCCTCCATCATCGTGCGGCACGTCGTCGCCTACAGGTCGTTGGCGCGTCGTCGAGCGTTACGGTATCAGATTGCAAATCAATATCTTATTTCCTAGGTATGAGCCAAGATGTCGCGTTCGTGACGCAGTTTCTTACCCAACGACGATGTCGAGACGCGTTTGAGAGAAAGAGACGAGAAGGGAAGTAGATACAAGTATATTTATACATGTTATATATACAGGTACGTATATAAGTATCTACTAGAAGGTTTATATATTTATGTATGTGTGTGTGTATGTGTGGGATATGTATATATCTATATACATAGAAGGATAGAGAAAATGGAAGGAGTATGCTAGAACTTGTGGCAATTCGAAGGAAACCAGAGCGAACGTAGTCAAATCGAATTACTCTCGAGGTTCTGCTCCATCGTTATACGGTGGTCTCTACGACGAAGCGTTTTGCAGGAAGGGTCCTTTAATTTCGTGTAAATTAAGGACAGAGAATTATTTTTGGTTAAACGTATTTCCTACAAACGACACACGGGATATACTGCTTCCCTAACGAGTACTAAGATGCGTTTCAAAATAATTTCACCAAAAAATGATGTTTAATAATTAACTTAAAGTATTCTCTTTTCTATCGGATGTTACATTTTTGATCATACATTTGTTTTAATTTTATTATATTTTTGTTTTCAACAAGTAAAATAAATCAAAAAGTAGGGGGGCTTTCTTTACAGTACGACGTATCCCTAAACGCAAAACGGATTCATTGTATAGGTTTCTCGTCTTGCCTACCTCACCATCTCTAAAATCTTGTAACATCGGCGTCGAGATTTGCATAATTTGCCGCAATAATGAAGCTATCTGCATATTACGTCCCACTCGGTACTGGGATGACTTTTAGGAGCTAACAGTACCGAATACGAGTCCCGACTTCCCTCCTCTTCTTTCTCTCTCTCTCTTTCTCTCTCGTGTGCTTACACATGCTCATACCACCTTCTTCCTCTATTCAGCTATTAGATTACGACAATATAACGAGTAATATCTACGCTACGAGACCGCAATTCCACCTGTCCTTTCTACTTCTCTGCTTTCGTTACTCTTCTCTTCTATTCTTCTACTTCTCGTGCCACTTTGTTCTACGACGTAAATTATAATGTCAACTTTACAGTACAAAGCTGTTGAACTTTAAATGGAAATAGTGACAAATGTTTATACCTCATATTTTGTACGATTCCCTAAAGAAATCTACCCTACTTATTAATTTGATAATTTATAAAAATTATTCTTATTAAATTAACAATACGATAGTCAGAGTAGTAACGTTGATGAGTGTGTTAGAGAACCATAGTCGATAGGCAATAATTTGAATGGGCTGCGAACGGTCTCTCTCATCCAAGAGACGTCCAGCTTTACGAACTTTTGCCAATCAGCACGTGCAATCCCGGTTGGAACTCATTGACAATTCAATTACAACTAGAGATTCTCGGTCTCTAACACTAAGCCGAGAAAGTTTGGCGGTTTGACGAGGAAGACCGAGTAGCAACTGGACGCCTTCGTAGACGTCGATTCTATGCCGTCATCTTCCTTGTCGTCGGAGACCAATGGAAAGGGCTTTTCTCGGGGCTTTATCTCTCTCCCTCTGTACTAAGTGTTATGCAGATTTCTGTTTGGCCGATCATTACTAGGGTGTTTGTTGGTAGAATAGCCAGCCATTCGACGGTCCCAGTCCATTTTCCTAAGAACCTGGATATTTAGCCTCTTCCTTCAGTCTAAAGGAGCTTTGTGGTTCAACCAAACTACGATATCCTTTATATTATTGGTGTTAAACATCCATCCCAAAGTTTGAAGCTTTAAGTTTTCAAGCAATATGAAAGGACTTTGTATTTTTTAACAAAAATCATGTTATGTGGAAAACCGTTTTCTTTGTTTATGGTACGCCTATTAATAAATCAAATTTAATAGAACACGTCGTATGCTAATTTGAGGCTACTGTTCAATATTTTATATCCGGATAATCATACTTTCTAATAGTATAAAATAAAACAAAAAGAAAGAAGGTTCGAAATGATGCTCATTAGTTTGTTTTTTCCTACTCACCGGCATAGTTTGGCTACCGTGTAGAGAATTTATCGCCGCTAGTGCTTCTTGATGCGACGACAGCTTAACGAATGCACAGCCTGAAACAGAAAAATGAAAGCACCACTTGTAGAGAAAGTTCCTTTCGTACTTGCCAAATATGCTTTTCGAATTCACCGGCTTCGAAAACTTTTTATTTTTTTCTCTCTTTCACTCTTACTCTCATTTGTTTCTTTCATTCTAAAGAGGAAGAATAGGTAATATCGAGAGAAGTAGATTCTTTTTTTTTCTTTTTCTTCTTCTTCCTTCTTTCTGAATCTCGATGAGAAGTTCAGAACGATACACTCCGACACTCTCGAAAAGAAGAAGTAAAAGAGCTTTTATATACGTTTTATCATCGTGAAAGATCCATTCGAAAAACGAGAGACAGGAGTTCCGTTTCAACCATTGTCAAGACCAACAGAGAGATAGAAAGAGAAAAAGGAAAAGAGAGAGAGAGAGAGAGAGAGAGAGAGAGAGGAGAGAGAAAACGTTTCACAGCTTGATGATGGAACGATTAATCGCCCCTACTTTCTGTGGTATGAGCGCGCGCGCGCTCACGTACCTGGAAACATATATATATATATATATATATATAGATATATAGGTATATAGGTATAAAGGTATATCATATACATATATATAGGGGTGTGTAAGCACATAGACAGAAGAGCATCGTTATAGTTACATGGAAGACACGAAGACAAAGAGCTCGAGGGCGCTTTGAAAAATTGACGCGCCAACGGAGCGCGCAACGTGCACTTAATAAAGATGTTTACTACGAAGAGAGAAACACTTCGTAATCCGGGACACACCGACGGCTTCGGGAGCAATAACGATTTCTATCGGCGTACTCGGGAGCCTGAATGATTGCTACTACCCCTTCTTAAACCCCCAACCCTCCTTCCTTTCTCTATCGCGTTTTCTACGTCGATTCTCTGACACGATCTTCCAACTTGAAAACAATCATTCCCTCTCTCTATTTCTTCTTCTTCTTCTTCTTCTTCTTCTTCTCATCTCCATACTCGGACTCTTCTGTCTTTTCTTTCTTTCTACCCGTTTAATACCTATATCCTACTTTCTCCTCTTTTCTTTTCCTGCCATTTTTATCGGATCACGTTTATTAGTCGATTTCTTTTTTTATCTTCCTCGAGGGCACGAACGAAGTTAACGCGATAGAAGCTCCCGTTGACGTGTGAGAACGTCGTGTTCGAATGGGAGAGGAAAAAAGAAGCGGGGGATAGGGAGGGGGATCAGGGGAGCAGGGATGGGGTTGTCGTCGTTGGGGTTGTCTCCGGGACAAAGTCGATTTTTACGCGTCTCGCGTACGCGACATTTCCAACGAAATCGATTAAGGACATATGTCGCTTGCATGGGCATCGTGAAAAATAAATTAACTTCGATCGCGATACGCTACCAAGCAGCAGCACCAGGAGAAAGGAGAACAACCAACTCGACTACGACTACGACTACGACTACGACTACGACGACTACGACGACGACGACGACGGCAAAGTTGCTAAGGGTTTGGCCCAAGGGCTTCAGGGGCATTAGGGCGAAAAGAGGGCGCCCCTTTTCTCATACCTGCTGAAGTATGACGGGACTAACGTTTCACCCATTCCAGTTTTCAAACCCCTGGACCACCCTCTCGCCGTTTCACTAAGGAACACCTCCCCCAACCCCTACCCCAACCCCTTTCCATCTCTCTCTCTCTCTCTTTCATTTTCTCCCTTGTTGTTCGGCCGACGTGAGAAGACCAGAAGAAGGAGGGGGACAATTTAAAGCTTTTGATCGATATCGAGCGTTTAAAATGTTTACGGTGCGTTGATATCAAGTTGAAAAATAGACTATTTATGTGGAGACTGATTTTACTGAAAAAAATCACTTATCTTTTCAATATCCACTAAAGAACAAAAACAAATTAAAACAGTGAATTCTAATTAAAAGCGATATACAAATATTTGTGCAATTAGAAAATTATTTAACGAAATAAAACATAAACCCGTGGAATATTAAAATAAATACAAAAAATGATATAATTCAAATCCATATAGAACACAAATTTATATAAATTAGTTTTACCACAATACGATTCTGCTCGAGGTAATTTCGAATTAACGCGCTAGCTTTGTATTATGAAATAATTAATTAATTTTTAGTATCTAAAATGAGTTTCTGCAAAAATATAAAAAAAAAAAAAAAATAGAATTTTCAATTGTATATAAAAACAAGAATGTTTAAACCCAGATTTGAAAAACCGAGATATAAACTCGAACTATAAAACAAACACGGTGATATCCTGTAAATATCATAATTAAAATTTCGAATGAATGATATACAAGTTAGTTCGTAAACGAGGGATGAAATAGAAATAGAAATAATAATTTAAAAGAAAAAAGAAAAAAAAAGCAACAAATGCAAAAAGTATTTGAAAGCTATTGAATTTAATGCGAACGATAAGTGTGTCTTCGTAACAAAACTAAAACGTTAGTTAACCGATATTACGCCGAAAAGACAAAAGCGTTCTTTCCACTTTGTTACCGGCAGCTCATTAAGCAGCATTGTCTGACGTCACTATACTTCTCGTTTACTACGAAGTACTTGTCCCGGACACCTGGCGGCCATTGTACCGATGATAATGTCGCGATGTCAAGCTCATGCCGCTACATTAATCACGAGAACCGGCTTCTCGAAAACTCTACGTCGTTTAAACCCAACGACGACGAAAACGTTCGTTCTTATCTTTCCCTCTCTTTACCAGTTATGTTTCACGACGCTTGGAATTCGTCGTCATCGTCATGTAATGGAAAAAAAAACCTTATCCATTTTTGTTCGACTTTTAAACGGGGAGACCTTTTAATAAAGCTAGCTATTTCCCATCCTGAGTTGCATCAACGATTCGTGAACAAGAAAACATTGTCAAACATTTGTTCAAAAATACACACTGGCAAAAAATTATTACGCGTTTTTGAAAGGTTTCTCGTAACGAGATCTTTGACTACCTTTGCCCCATGCTAATTAAAACTACACGGTTATTTTCATTTCACTTTTTTTATACATTTAGCGTTTCTACTTTTTGTCAAGAGAAATAGTAAAAATACGAGCGACGAAATGATAACTGAAAAAAAGCAAGCTGACCTTTTTAATAAATTTAAAATAATAATACAATTTTTTTAACAATAGTCTCGTCAATGATTTATGCATTACCATATACAAAAATTGTGATTTCATCGAAATAAAATTGTAAGATGGTAATAAAATCGTATGCGAGATTGATACGTTTCTTGAACTGACGGCAAAACTTACTGGTTGACTATGGGGGTTGGTTGGTTTTTTGATACAAAACGCGATGCTGTAAAAATCTGCAGAGGGCTTCGAAAAGCTTTCTACGAGTGAAATTCCCAACGGAGTTTTCGAAGAAGAGATGCGCTCTTGAGATTTTTCTCGACTGTTTTCTACCGAGAGAGGGTAAAGGGTCCTGAGGAAATAAAGGACTCGAAATTTTCCAAAGTTCTTCAACGTGCACATATATATCTATCTATATAGTATATGTCTATGTATATAAAGAGAAAGAGAAAAGGGGTTGAGAGATATAGATCGGTTGAAGCATCTTCTGGTTGCTTCGAAAACTATGTTTGGCCTCCTCGAACAACGAAGAACAACAAACAGTGGACAAACCGCTCGTAGAAACGCTCTTCCAACGTTAGATATCCGACATGGCGTACTTTCGTGAAATCGCCCACCCCTATTCATTCTCCGTCAAACTCCAACCCTTCCTCCACCTCCTTCTCCACCTCCTCCTCCACCTCTTCCTCTTCTTCTTCTTCTTCTTCTTCTTCTTCTTCTTCTTCGTCACAGGCTCCGGAACCCAATCGATAAAGCTTGCGAGACTTTCCACTCATATGCTTGATTGCTCGACAAACATGCCTAAGTTTATCATTGGAACCTACGATGCTGTCGACTACCATCACAAACTCACACGTCTTACCTTCTCTTCATCAAGGCTCTTTTGCACTTTGGAATTGCTCTTATCGTATACTTCCGATTGCTTCCTGTACTTTTTTCAATCGTTCGATCTAACCATACGTTTCGACAATGTCATTTGAACCGATTTCTTCATCGTATTTCATACTTATTGGGCTTCGTAACTTTGAAAATAATATTTCTATTGCTAGTTCAAACTATCGTCAAAGACGGATAATATTGCAGGGCACGTAAATGACGTATTTAAAATGATACATAGGCAGTTGTTTTACACGCATTTAGAAGGGATGATTTCTCATCGAAGTATTTATTATAAATCTGTTCGAAATTTAGTTGGTAATATTGCGCCTTTCACTTTTGTACCTGTTTCACCCCGAATTCTAAAAATAACAAGACGTTTATGTTATATTCAGGCCTCCTTGTGAATTAAAACTGTTAGGGTAAAGGCGTTCGATATTTCTCAAGGTAATCTGGTCCTCTCTTTTTCTTTATGAGCTGCTTACTAATCGATCTTGCATTCTCGTACCTAGCTAGTTTCGCCTCCAAGGAAATTCTCTTTTTCTTTATCAATGATGTATCGACGAGTGTTCGAGGCGAAGAGTTGAACGGTGAGAAACGTTTTAACCCTTTCAAATCTCCTAAGCTTTATTCGACATTCCCTAGGTAAGAGGGTTACTTCCTTTTATTGTACTTTTATCGGGATTACTTGGAAAACTTTCCAATTCTTTGATAGTAATGAATGACAAGACTGAATAAAACTAAGACGTTTTCTTATTTTTCTTCTTTTTTTTTTTTGCGGGCCAAGTTAAGATAAAAATTTGAAATCATTTAGAACATATCTAACGTACGTTATAATCCAAAACTCGCACGGTAATAAACTTTTTAAAGAATATCGATTTAGTTAGAAATGACGTTATAGCTAACGAAGTTGATCGAACCTCTAACAAAAAGATATCCTTTACACGTGTCGATCGTCATTCGCGTGGCATTTCTGTGTCAACGGAAGGGAATCTTATTATTTCGTTAATGGCTTTGGAATAGATAAAAAAAAAAAAAAGAAAAAAAAAGAAAAATAAAC